AACTCTTACTACTTCTTTTGAAATATATTAAATAAAAAAGGACGTACTTGTTAAATTCAAAAAATCAATATAAACGTTTTATCTACTTTATTAAATTCATCGATATTCTTGAAAACAACTTTTTCAATTGTCACCGTTAAACAATAAAAAAAATAATGAATAATGTTATATCAAAAGTACAATGTGATTAAAATTAATAAAACTTACTTATTGCGTAGGAGTGTCCAAGAACTCGTTATACAATCTCAATTGCATTATTTTTATAATCTCGGTAATTTAATTTGTTTCTGATAAAAACATTTTAGTGTTTAACACATTTCAGGCTATATGCAAATAACACATCCGTACCTACCTGCTTGTAGTCGTAAATGAAACTTTATTAAAAAGTGCAGTCTACACGTATCTAATCTAAATAAATGGTTATGTATGAATTCATTCTTTTCTAGTAATGCAAAAAATAATATATCACTAATTTTTTTTGGTATGAGATAATGTATTAAAAACAACTAAAAACACGACCGATTACGTGTACTGGATGTTATGTTATAACATGTGGTACAAAGTATCTAAATTCAACATAAAAAAAACTATTGCGTCCCCTTCTATCACAAAGACGAGGACGTAGTCTCGACGCCTATGACAATCCTTCTACTCGTTTCCCTAAGGAAGTTAACAATATGGAATGGTTCGTATCTCCTATGTGGCACCACTGCTCTCATGTTTAGTACCTTTGGATTATATAAGGAACCCCATTAATACGAGTACAAGTATTAGTCCAGTAACATTTGTACAATTATTTACAACGATAAAGGATCGTTTAAAATCTAATAATTTATGTAAACCTCAACTGGGTCGTCATAAACCAATTTTTAATAAGGACCAGGAAAGTGAAATAGTGCAACACTGCATATATTTGGCAAAAATGTTTTATTGGCTGACCCCAATCGACTTGAGAAAACTTATATTTAAATACGCTAAGTCAAATTCTATCACCCATCGTTTTAATGCAACTAAAAGAATGGCAGAAAAAGACTGGTTTGGTGCCTTTATGAATAGAAACCCACACATTAGTCTCAGGAAACCAGAGGCAACAAGCTTAGGCAGAATTTCCGGGTTGAAAAGCTTCAAATTGAACCTCATCACATCTATAATATGGATGAGACAGGTATTACTACCGTACAAGTTCCGACCAGAGTGATTGGCCCAAAAGGTACCAAACAACTTGGGAAAGCGGTTAGCTACGAACGTGGGCGAAATATTACTATGTGCGGCTGTATTAGTACATCAGGTTCTTTTATTCCACCTATGTTTATATACCCCAGGGCAAGGATGTCTGATCAGCTAAAAATAAATGGCCCAGTAGGTGCAAAATACACCTGCTCTTTGAAAGAGTGGATAACACAGGAGTTATTTGTTGAGTGGCTCCATCATTTTAAACTTCATGCCGCTTGTTCCATTAATAATTCTGTTCTACTCATCCTTGATAATCATACTAGCCATTGCTCTCTGCCAGCTTACAACTTCTGCCGTGCGAATGGCATTACTGTGGTATCTTTCCCACCTCACACGAGCCACAAGCTACAACCCTTGGATATCACTGTATTTGGTCCTTTAAAGTAAGCATATTCAAACGAGTATTTCACATTTATGAGTCAAAATCCACACCAAAAAATCACTCCCTATGATGTGGCAGAAATATATTTAATAGGGCATTTATAAAAATCGCATCAATAGAAAAAGCCCAAAAAGGATTTCAAGTTAGTGGAATTTGGCCTTATAACCCTTCCATATTCAGCCAGGATGATTTCCTCCCAGCCGCAATTCCCTCAACCAGTCTAGTAACTGAAGATAATGAGAAAATTAGTATCCAAGATTCAAATACTGATCAAAATGCCAGAGAGAGAGAGAGAGAGAGAGAGCAATGTTATTAATTTTGGAGCAAAGCTTCTACTGATGTAGGTCATCCTATAAGTGTCAGCAAGAGCGATGGTATTAATTTTAAAGCAAGCTCCTCCAAAGCTCCTGGTCAGAAACCTAAAAAATATGTTCAATTTAAAGAACTATTTCCAATAGTCAATATTAAGAGAAAAGAAACAGGAGTTGCAAAAACAACTCGACTTTCAATAACATCTAAAATTTTAACAGCTACACCAGAAAAGGAAAACCTTGAGCAAAAACAGTTAAAGACAAAAGAAAAATGTGGAAAAAAGAAAAATTCCAAAAGCGAGAAGCAGAAAGCTAAATTACATGTGAGGAGAGGTGTGGAAAAAGTTAAAAAGAGAGTGTTAGAATCTAGTTCTAGCGATGAATCAACAGAAGCAATATTCGATGACAGAAGTTCCGATGACGTGGAAGACTTAATGGAAAATGAAATATGCATAATCTGCAACGAGTTCGGGAAAACGGAAATGTGGTTTCAATGTGGTGTTTGTAAAAAGTGGGCACTCAAAGACTGTACGGGCCAAGATGGTTCCAAGCCATATATTTGCGATTTTTGTATGTAGGATACCTTAATAATAAACATAGTTGTTTTATTTGGAGTGAGGGTAGCCATATGTGAGTAGTAGGGATTAAGTGTAAGGGTTAAAGAAAAGGTCCTTTATTTCTCACAAGTCAATTTAATTGGCGACCGGTTTCGAAGTTGTTGATGATGAAGTGACAACTTCGAAACCGGTCGCCAATTAAATTGACTTGTGAGAAATAAAGGACCTTTTCTTTAACCCTTACACTTAATAGTTGTTTTATTAACTATGGAATGTTTAATTTTATTTATTTGTATTTTTAAATTATTATTGTACCTTTAAGTAACGTTTCCCAATGTGGTTGGCCAGGTGGGCGGGGCTACCAACTCTCTCGGGTACCCCCGCCCGATGCTGACTTTTTAAAATTGCCTATTTTCAGTGACAAAATTTTTTTCGGCTAAATTAAGTACATACTTAGAGAAACAATGGACTTAAGAATTACGTAAGCTATTGAATTGAAAGATAAGTATCAAAGATTATTTTTAAAACCCAAATATGCTTAGGTGGGCGGGGCTGCCCGGTTCTCCCCTATTTAGTAGTTAGAAAATAATAAATATGTTAAAAAAGGATATTTTATGTTGTAACATTTTAAAATTCCAGTTAAAAATGTTATTTTAATTGTGTGACATCCTGTATAAATTCGATTAATTTCGTGAAGTGGGAGTACAGTAAATCAAACGATTTCGCCATTAGATTTTGAAATTTCATTTATCATTATTATCTCCTAGTATCTGGTAGTGTTTGGCTGTACAAGTGGTGAGTAAAAAAAAGTATAATGTCATTGTAAAAATATCTCGGTAGAAATAATATTTCAACTTGTTAGTTATAAGCTATTATTTTTTTTTTGAAAGTAAAGTAAAATTTTTCTAAATATGTTTTTATAATTGCACAGTGTTTATAGTAATTAGTTTTTATTGTATCTTGAATTAATTTTAAAAAGTAGATGTTTCAAATTTAATTTATATCTCATACAAGAGCCACGTGAAAAACAGAATATATTTTTGTTTAGAAAACGAATAGGAGCAGCTAAAAGCTAAAAGTTGAAAGCTAGAACTAAAAGTTAAACGTTAGAACTAGAACGAAAGAACGAGGTATGCTGTTCATGATCGAGTAGCAGAATTATGGGAGATGCGAGATTTGGTGTTCGTTCCCGAGTATCAGAATTATAGTTCGACTGCATCCTAAGAAAGTTATCAGCCAAAACCAAATAGTGGTAACTAATAGTGGCTAATTTTATTATTGAAAATATAAAAGTTAATTTACCAGCTAAAGTTTAATATTGACTTGTTCCTTAACATTTTCATTTTTTTACTGAATAAACTAATTCATTTTTATAAATATATATGTTGAATCTTATTTTTTTTAAAGGTTACAACAATTCTCTTTTGCCTAAATTTTATATAAGTTTTAATTAATTTCCTTCTGATAAAGCTAGAGTTTATAATTCTCACTAGCTTTCTAAAAATAAAAAAAAGCCACACTCTCCCAGAAAACTATTATCCCCAAAGGTGTCTATTAGAAAAGCCGAATTCACGACTGAGAAAACTATATGGTCAATGTGCTCATTTCTTTTTAATTTGGTTAAAGGTAAGTAATGTTTGGTGTTAAATTTCTATGAGCTAGTCAAAATCTCTTATAAGTGTTTTGAAATTAACATTTTATCCCAAAGTATCGCTTTTCTATTACAATGTCTACTGTTGACATAACGTCTAATATATGATGCCTATTTTCAAAAGACAAAATATAGGGATAGCTCTTATGTTTCAAGTTAAACGGGAATTTTGTAAATAATTTTTTATTAAAAAAAAACATTGGCGGACCTTATTTTTCATCAAAAATATCACTCAATATCACTGAAATATCTCAAGCGATTTCGAAAATATTACTTAATTTCCTTTTTTTTTTTTCTAAAACTTCTAAAATTTTTGGATCATAGTTTATACCTAAAGCAAACTATCATTAATTTTACATGTAGATTCACATCCTTAAATATTACCATATCATTAAAGAACACTTTGTATATTCAAGCATTGGGGATATTTTATACAAATTATCTATACGTTATTGGACATGTTAGACTTTATACATAGCTTACTAGTATTATTGGGGGTGCGTTTTTTGATATTTATAATGGAGCTGTAGACAAATTACGTTATGTAACTTATTTAAATCATGGTGTTAAAGTATTAATTTGCCATTTCCATTTCATATATTTTTATAACCAATAGCTTTTCTTTTATATAGAAAAATAAGTGCAGACTTTTCTAAAACGAATCGAGATGCTAGTATCTTATGGATAAGATAAAATATTTGGAATCAAAGTAAACTAACTCAAAGATATTTTTTATTCCAGAAGAGGTAAAAGTGAAAAAATAAAAACTTTCTTTAATCATACTATATGTAACTTTTCTATATATTTTTTATCAAACCAGTATTTATAAAAATTATTTAAAAGAAATTAATTGTGTAAACACTTACCTTTTTTAAATGTAATTCTTTTTGTATAACAAAAATATTAAATACTTTCAATAATTATCAATTATTTCCCAAATAGTATTTAAAAAAGTTAATAGGCACATTCTACATAACCACCTGATAAAAACATTAGTTTTTGAAAGAGGAAATTCGATAAATCTGGTACACCCACAAACAACCTTATCACTATTGTGACGCTGAAATAATTAAATTTATTCAAAATTTATGAGATGAAACTAGGATTTATGAGTTATTTAATTAAAAAAGTATGATCTTTCCCGCTAAATTACATTTTTTTTATAAACAGCTAAAATTAAAAAAGGGGCTACCATAGAGCAGTGTTACTTTACAACAATTTCTACAGTTTTGTAACAAAACGACTATTATTATTATTATTATTAAACATACGTTAGCCCATTTAACGTATGTGCCATTTCTAGATCGATACATGTTATCGGCTTCCAAAAAACGATATAATTTGCTCCTATTTTTTTGCTCAAAAAATGTGTGTAAAGTAACCCACGAAGGTGATGCATTACACATCGAAAAAACAAACAGAAACACATATACATTATGGAGTTTACAGAGTAAAGCCACTTACTTTTTATTTCCATTTTTTTCGTAAACAAAATCAAAGAGACACTCACAATTTCATAAAAATAAAATGTATTGCACATTAAAACTCAAATCAAATTTGCAACTCCTCTATATCTCAATGCAACTCCGAAACAATCAACAGATCAACAGTCTGCAACACACTAGAATATTCGATGAATAATATTAAATTGTTTAGTAAACGTAACACATTATTAAACTATAGTCAAAAGAAATTGGTGGAAACTTCGAGAACCTTCGCCTGTATGAATAATTAATACTCTTTTTGCTGTTGAAAAGTTAGTTCAAGTTGAGGCATTGATGTACTTTTGACATTTGGAGCATTCGGACGCATGCGCATTATCGATGTAATCTCAAGATTTTACAGTACTGATTTTTGCAATTTTTAGTGTGATTTTCGAGTACCTGTGTTTCATAATTATAGTTTTTAATTTGAATTTAATTATGTGGCCTTTTTATATTTGAGTCCTGTTTTTTGTTTAGTGTTTTGTTCATTTTGTGTTGAAATTAGCTTCAGAACACTTGAGTGCCCTGCTTCTGTTTGATATATTGTATAATCATAATCAGACTTCTGCAACCATGAGGGAAAAGTGTATGATTTTGTTATGTAAAAGTCAGGCGTCTCCATTTTTCAGGTAAGGACTAGTTATTTTTACTTAAAAGGATAGCAATAGACTATATAGAGGTAAGTTTTAACAAATTTATATATCTGTCTATCCATTACAAATTACTTTCAAAACATAGCTATAATACACGTTTGTTTATTCTTAGTTAGAAATGATAAAATCTGCCGACACTTATTAAATGTCATTTTTTTTTAGGTAATAATAATAATAATAATAATAATAATAATAATAATAATAATAATAATAATAATAATAATAATAATAATAATAATAATAATAATAATAATAATAATAATAATAATAATAATAATAATAATAATAATAATAATAATAATAATAATAATAATAATAATAATAATAATAATAATAATAATAATAATAATAATAATAATAATAATAATAATAATAATAATAATAATAATAATAATAATAATAATAATAATAATAATAATAATAATAATAATAATAATAATAATAATAATAATAATAATAATAATAATAATAATAATAATAATAATAATAATAATAATAATAATAATAATAATAATAATAATAATAATAATAATAATAATAATAATAATAATAATAATAATAATAATAATAATAATAATAATAATAATAATAATAATAATAATAATAATAATAATAATAATAATAATAATAATAATAATAATAATAATAATAATAATAATAATAATAATAATAATAATAATAATAATAATAATAATAATAATAATAATAATAATAATAATAATAATAATAATAATAATAATAATAATAATAATAATAATAATAATAATAATAATAATAATAATAATAATAATAATAATAATAATAATAATAATAATAATAATAATAATAATAATAATAATAATAATAATAATAATAATAATAATAATAATAATAATAATAATAATAATAATAATAATAATAATAATAATAATAATAATAATAATAATAATAATAATAATAATAATAATAATAATAATAATAATAATAATAATAATAATAATAATAATAATAATAATAATAATAATAATAATAATAATAATAATAATAATAATAATAATAATAATAATAATAATAATAATAATAATAATAATAATAATAATAATAATAATAATAATAATAATAATAATAATAATAATAATAATAATAATAATAATAATAATAATAATAATAATAATAATAATAATAATAATAATAATAATAATAATAATAATAATAATAATAATAATAATAATAATAATAATAATAATAATAATAATAATAATAATAATAATAATAATAATAATAATAATAATAATAATAATAATAATAATAATAATAATAATAATAATAATAATAATAATAATAATAATAATAATAATAATAATAATAATAATAATAATAATAATAATAATAATAATAATAATAATAATAATAATAATAATAATAATAATAATAATAATAATAATAATAATAATAATAATAATAATAATAATAATAATAATAATAATAATAATAATAATAATAATAATAATAATAATAATAATAATACTCTCCCTTAATACACCCCCTTACGAGTGAATTTTAACCCCAAAAGCTGAGCTTGTGCGGGGAAAGAGACGGCTATTATTATTATTTGCCGTGGCGCTCCGAGGCGACTTAAAGATGATTGATGGTGCCATTTGACTTACAGGTGAGGAAAACCCGGAAAACCCGGAAAACCTCACCCACCATGACTGAATCCATACATTTTTATTACGTATTTTTAAAAATAAGTGTATAATTTCTATTATTTTCATATCCCCCGTATATGGTAAATATTTTGAAATGTATTACTTCAAGTGGTAGAGATAACACCTTTATTAATATGACTGTAGAAGAGTAGGATTGGAGTGGACTTCTTTATTGTTTACTTTCAGAAATATTAATTTCTCCTGATTTTAAAAAACGTACATGAAATGGCTAAGACGGACCTGCAAAGGCACTTTATGTGCAATCTCACCACCTGTGACGTATTCGCGAATTCAATTTGGCTTAGGACCACATACTTTGATTTTCCTTTACTATATGGTGCAAGAGAGAGGCCATTTTGATTCCTATGCCACAGTTTATAGCTAAAGAATCAGATCGCGCACTCTGCGACGGTACTTTTGATCTCAATGTTTCAGTTTATACACTGCGCAACTCGGATATAATACAATATATGACAACCGCCTATAATAAAACAGCAGTCTTTTGCGTATAGGGACCGTGCGTGAAATATAGAGGCAGCACTACTGCCGAACTTAGCCCTCTCTAGTGTTTAATTTTATAATTAAATGGGGTAAACATTGCAAGTAAATAATGAAGGGTATTTTTTTAAATATTAAATATAGTTAAAAATAGATACCGGCCCGTACCAAACAATCGTGTACATGATCAAAATGACGTAAAATGTGAAACATCATTAAAATCTGGACATTCATATACATTTTAAGCAAAAAGATTTAAATGGCTAAGTGACAATAAATTGTAAAGTTGTACCTTAAACAAGTGTATCCAATGTTAAAATATCGGTATTTAGTAACACTGAATTTAAAAGTATTACAATAACGTTTAAAAAATGTAAATTAATAAAAAAGATTGATAATAATAATTATAAATCTTTTTAGCTTTATGTTAATCGAAATGTCATTCATCCACTGGCGTTTATGAGATGTTCAATGATACATATATTATAGATTGCTCACCCAACTATAAAAAAATTATGAAAAGCGGGTTGCAATGTGCCTTTCCTAGTGCTCACTAAATAGAGCCGTTCTAGCCCAAATGTGTTTTAAAATAAAATTTCAGCATTTTAATCTTTAGAAAAAGATAATAATTAAAGTTTTACTTCAAGACATGTCAGTATGTATTTGGAAAGTTGAGTTTTCATGTAGTTAAATTAAGAGATCTAAAAAATTTTTATAACAGATGGATATAAATAATTTTAGACCACTATTTCAGAAACAATTCTACATAAAATACATAATTGCAATATGTAATACAATTTTGAAAAGGTAATGTAAACAATTTTGATATGAGGTATAAACAACTTTTGGTAAGAGTTGTAATTGGACACTTATCTATTATTCTGAATAATGTTTAATGGTAATGTCACTAAAAAAAATTACAAAAAATCACTGGATTTTTAATATTTTAAAGTTTGTTACAATCTCTTTTGACAGTAATTGCAATGTATTATTTATGATTTGTTTATTTTAATAATAAATGAGAAATAGTTAATAAATTGTAAAGAGGGCCGTGCTATTTTTGTCAAATTGGACATTCTTATTTCATAACATTCTACATTAGTTTTAATCAACAGAATAAACCATTATCTGTAAAATTATATTTATATAAAATGTTCATTTAAATATGTAAAAATCTTAATGACAAGAAAACACTAAAGATTCTAATTTCTAAACCGGTTCTGTAAATGATTTCTTTACAACTAAGTGCTCAAAATTGATACAAGCTAGATAAAAAGAAAACTTTGCCCAGTGAAATACGCTTTTCGTCGTCTGATTTACATATGAATAAGCAATCTTTGTAATTATGTATATCATTGGGTGTGAGGCATAATTGTGCTCTGTGGAAATTTATAAAATTTCTTTACTATCGAATGAAATCCAGGTTTCTAAAGTGATGTGTTTGTACATCCACGGATGCAACAAGTTTTTTCGATATTGATATTACGAAAATAATTCGACTTCATTTTATTAATAATTATTAAACAATAAATGCCGTATAAAACATTAATAAATACCCCCCAAAAAGTTCACATTTTTGTCACCAGTTAGCGTTAAAGT